CTTTCTTTCATGGCTTAGAACCTCATCTTTCATGGCTTAGAACCTCGTCTTTCTTTCATGGCTTAGAACCTCATCTTTCATGGCTTAGAACCTCGTCTTTCTTTCATGGCTTAGAACCTCGTCTTTCATGGCTTAGAACCTCGTCTTTTATGGCTTAGAACCTCGTCTTTCTTTCATGGCTTAGAAACTCGTCTTTCATGGCTTAGAACCTCATCTTTCATGGCTTAGAACCTCGTCTTTCATGGCTTTGAACCTCGTCTTTCTTTCATGGCTTAGAACCTCGTCTTTCATGGCTTTGAACCTCGTCTTTCTTTCATGGCTTAGAACCTCGTCTTTCATGGCTTTGAACCTCGTCTTTCTTTCATGGCTTAGAACCTCGTCTTTCATGGCTTAGAACCTCGTCTTTTATGGCTTAGAACCTCGTCTTTCTTTCATGGCTTAGAACCTCGTCTTTCATGGCTTAGAACCTCATCTTTCATGGCTTAGAACCTCGTCTTTCTTTCATGGCTTAGAACCTCGTCTTTCATGGCTTTGAACCTCGTCTTTCTTTCATGGCTTAGAACCTCGTCTTTCATGGCTTAGAACCTCGTCTTTCTTTCATGGCTTAGAACCTCGTCTTTCTTTCATGGCTTTGAACCTCGTCTTTCTTTCATGGCTTAGAACCTCGTCTTTCTTTCATGGCTTAGAACCTTGTCTTTTATGGCTGCTCTCAAACTGCACCCTGTCAAACCCAGTCTGCTCATTTTAATCATGCGGAGCCAAACCAGTTTGTGTTTCTTATCATTTTGGGAATAATCTCTGCAGTTTGCCTGCAGCAGGCCCACTTATTGCACAGGAAACACACATTTCTGCACACATGAATCTTTGCTGATCAGATTTTGCCTTTTCCTTCCATCCTTCAAATATCCTCTGATTGGCGTCCTTTTGGTTTTTGCTATGGTTCAACATTAATCTGTAGTAATGTCTGTGGTCTGAGCCAGTATGAGTAGACGATGGTCTTCCTCAGACGTCCGGAGATCTTCGGCTATTCGGAATTATTTGCAGCTTTTCTTACCTTGCAGGTTTTGGGTTTTTTTTTACAGCCTTTTCCTTTGAATGTGTTTCATGTGCTAGCATCACTTTAGCATTATTGAACGTATTTGTAGCGAGCTTGCACCACCTTTGTTTGACTTCCCTTTATTTTTCCGCTGATTCCCGTGTCTGTCCCTGAAAGTCATGTCAGTCCTCAACCCTTAACCTCCTCCTTAAGCCGGGCTTTTAACCCCTGCGGCGTCGTCGTACAGAATGAGCTGTGCTTAGTGATATCATACAGTGAATGCCCAGCTCTATGGGGAAATAAAGTGTCTAAAACTGCCTGCAAAGAAAAACCTTTTTCACTGTCATCTTTTGTTTTCTTCTTCCTCTCTAACAGATCATCCTCTGACGATGAGATGAAGGTGTAGTTGTGATTGTCTCCACACAGTGTGGTCCCAAGCATGCATCCACACCTTTATAAACAGCATCAAAGATCAGATTTAAGACCATGCTGAGGTCACAAAATGATCATTGGCGGAAATGAATGAGAATTTATTCTAAATTCGGTTTGTTAAAAACACAGATTGAAACCCTGGAGTTGGATTTAAAAGCAGCGTGGATGTGAGGCTTTGGGACGTCACTGTGTGCGTAGGAGCAGCTGATGTGGTGCATGATGTCCTACCTAACTCCTGGAAATAGAAAAGCTGTAAAACTTTATCACCAACGGCTTGGTCTCTGACGATCTGGTCCTGATCCGGGTCTCTCTTCAGAGACTGTAGTTTCAGCAGGTTTCTATCGTATAGCTGTCCACCATCCCATGTGCTTTGTTGTAGTTTTAGTTTGTAATTTACCGTAAAGCTCAAAGGTTTGTGTCGCTTCAACCACAAACTTCAGTGATTTCTACTTTTTAATGATATAAAAAGCAGAGAAAAGCTTTGATGGAGAAGGAAATTGACGCATCTTTACATAGAAATAGTTAAAGTGTACATCTGTTCAGCCCTCATAGAACCGTCCACTCTGAAACATAAAAGCAAACATGCTCAGAGCATGATGCTGACCCCTCTGTGCTTCACTGCAGGGGTGTTCTTCATCTGTTTTCCTTCACACCAGTTTAGACGGACGTAGGAAAATATTATATTTACTCATTGAGTTTTATTTGAATAACTTTTTACACCAAAATGTACTTTCAGGAGTATTTTCACTGCACTGTACGTTTTACTTTTACTTGAGTTATTTATTAGTAGGAAGCATCAGCAGCACAAACAAAATTTATGTAAGTGAGACTTATTTCAGTCTCACTCTTATTAACCTTCTGGAACCTTAAAATGTAAAGATAAATGTTTAAAGTTGGTCCTGCTGGGAGCTCTTCCTGCACATTCGACGCTATAGATAAGGGATGTTAGAATCCGCTCCTCTAGAGCTGCTGTCTGCACCTTTAGGTACAACTCTGCCTTAATCCAGCAATTAGATCCTTTGTAGAAGTCTGGAGTTCTCGACTTCAACTGAGGATGTATCTAAAGCCGCTGTCACACCTTGACGATTTAGACCATCGTATGTCTGATGTCTAAAAAAAAAAACTGGCATGACGCTCAAACTGCCACCACCAAAAACCTGCTTTCTTCCTTCCTTCCTTCCTTCCTTCCTTCCTTCCTTCCTTCCTTCCTTCCTTCCTTCCTTCCTTCCTTCCTTCCTTCCTTCCTTCCTTCCTTCCTTCCTTCCTTCCTTCCTTCCTTCCTTTCTTCCTTCCTTCCTTCCTTCCGGCGGGCGGTAAACAGCAGCTAGGTTAATACCGTGATCAAAGACATCTCTTTCTGCAGGCCGGGTGCCTCCGGGCGCATCGCTGCCCCCCTCAGGACACTGTGCATCATTTCATGGTCATTACGCTGCTGTGCGTTATGCAGAAGTTAGGCTGTCGTTGGACAGAAGTTCTGGACTCATTATGAATCCTCTATGTTTACGCCCAGAATAGAAATAATGCATAGAAAGTTCAGCGTCTGCCAGCGTTTTAGGAGAATCTGGGACATCAGGCAGACGCTGGATAAATCATCAAGGTGTGACAGGGACTTAGAACCGGGGAAAGATCTAAAGGTTGCAGCCTAGCAGCTCTGGAGGATTTGAGTTTGCCTTCCAGGATACAGAGGAGGGATGTCTAGCTTCCTTCTCGCCTCAGTTCCTTCAGACATTTTTACCTGCCAGCCCATCTTTCAAGCTGCAGGAACTGGATCAACTTCCTGATGATCAGCAGATGTTTTTCACATTAATGAATATAAACAGGTTAAATTGATTAATGCTGTTCCTCTGATGTCAAAGTTCAGTCTTCGCCGGGTCTGTAGGTGCATGTGCTATCAAGTTTCTCTTCCCGGTTTGTGACAAACCCTTAAGTCCTTCATAAAGCAGTCGTCACCTGGAATTAGATTTTATTCCAGTTAAAATGTTTGTTTATTTTGGGCTTCAGTTACAAGCTTCCAGAAAATCTGGAGGCTTTTTAATGTGAGCCACTAGAGCGCTCGACTAACGTTATACTAACATTAGCCCGCCTTGCTATCACCATGCTAACAGTCCTTCTTGCTATCAGCATGCTAATATTAGCCCTCCTTGCAAACTACGCTAACAGTCCTCCTTGCTATCACTATGCTAATGTTAGCCATCCTTGCTATACCATGCTAATATTAGCATCCTTGCTATCATCATGCTAACATTAGCCCTCCTTGCTATCACCACGCTAATGTTAGCCCTCCTTGCTATTACCATGCTAATTTTTGCATCCTTGCTATACCATGCTAACTGTCGCTACCCGATCCGTACCGGTAGCACGATCCGTACCATCAGCTCATTTGCGGCTGCGCGAACAGAATAACTTCCGGGTCGCCAAAAAATAATGTAATTACGGTACTGAAAAAACTTTATTTATATCCTTAAATAATTAAAGAATACTAAACTACATCGTAAAGACAATATTGAAGACTTTTCTGGAAGAAATGGATGCTTTTTAAATTCAATCCATTGTATTGCTTGACTTCATTTTTCTGGAATAAAAATCCAAATTTTCGGGAAATGTTCCCTTATCAATGAAAAACTGCAGGTCACGAAAGGTAGCAAATTAATCTATTGTGGGATCAGTACTGCTGGAGTGCATAGTTAAGTACAGAGTAAATCGAATATTTAAACAAATTTAAATATATACGCTGTGTGACGTATATTTGCGCATGCTCAGAGCAGTCAAAGTAACTATCACAAGGCGATTGAACTTTTTTATGTATTTCAGTTTTTTTATTTTTAGAAAATGTAATATTGACGAAAATACAAAGATATACAAAAAGAAACCCATGCCTCTAAAAAAAACAAAAGAATAAAAAAGTAAGAAAAAGGCCACCGGAAGTTATTCTGTTTGCGCACGCGCAAATGAGCTGATGGTACGGATCGGGTAATGACACTAACATTAGCCCTCCTTGCTATCACCATGCTAATGTTAGCATCATTGCTATACCATGCTAATGGTAGCCCTCTTTGCTATACCATGCTAAAATTAGCCCTGCTTGCTATCACCATGCTAATGTTAGCCATCCTTGCTATACCACGCTAACATTAGCCCTGCTTGCTATCACCATGCTAATGTTAGCCATCCTTGCTATACCATGCTAACATTAGCCCTGCTTGCTATCACCATGCTAATGTTAGCCCTCTTTGCTATACCATGCTAATATTAGCATCCTTGCTATCACCGTGCAAATGTTAGCCATCCTTGCTATTACCCCTCTACCATAAAGTCTCCTTGTCTCTCCGTGATCGGAACATTCAGGCCACGATGTGGAGGTTTTTGTTTGAGGTTTTTCTAACCGTGCTTCTCTTTCCTCTCCTTCATGTCATCAGTTCTACCTTTTCTGGTCCAACACATTAATGAAAACTGAAGTTTGAGGTTCCAGTAGTTTTGCAGCATATCATATTTCATAACGATGTAAAATAATCTTTATTTTCTTACTTCACAGAAAATCACCTTCGACCAATACAGGCGGATGGTAAGTTCAACTATTTAACGGGTTTTAACATGTAGCTTCGTTAGGTTGATTATTAATCACTGAAATAGATTCCAACTCATCTCTGCTGGTTTGTCTGCAAATTAAATAAAGTTTTATGCTCCTGTTTTCCAGAATATTTTCTACCAGCAAGCAATCATGAGATCAAAGGTCAAATCCAGTGTTTCCCTTGGGGCGTAAGTTCTCCTCTTTTAGTGTTTGTACATATTCAACAACAGAACAAATTTACCAGAAAAACCCTCTGATTGAGCACAGACCTCCTAACCTGGCAGTAGCCAGATTGATATGTGTAGATCTACGTTATCAATCTGGACGCTATATCAACGCTATAGCGTCCAGATTGAGAACACAAGAGGGCAGCAGAGAGCGACAAATAGAAACCTGGAAGACTGGAAATAAAAACAAAATGATAATCAAATAACTAGGACTATGAAACATGGAGAAAAGAAAACTAAACACTAGAAAACAAGGAGTAAAGTATGACTGAATGCTCAAAAGAAAAACATAACAGAAACAGAAACCTGACAGAAAGCCAGACGTTTGTGGATTTTTGCAGCCACTGCTGTGAAAGGCCCAACGTGAACCTGCTGCTGTTTCTACAGGTTGCTCAAGTACATCACATCCTACAAAAACCACGATGCTTTCCTGGCTCCCTGTCTGCCCAGCAATCCCTGGCAAACTGACCATGATGCATACTGGACTCTGAACATGAGAAGGTAAGCAGAGAACACAGCAGCTAATATTTTTAGATGTTCTTTCTTTATAAAGACGCCTATATAGATTTAAAGGCTCCTACGCAGCCCTGGACGAATTGAAGCCTGGCGAAGTATGATGAGGAGCTCTGACAGGCTAGCAGACAGAGAAGAAGGAGTGTATTTCTATAGAGCCGATTCACAACACACTTCATCTCAGGTCACTTTCCAGTTCACCAGATCATCCAGTCAGATTGATTCAAAGTTTTCTATCTAAGGAAAAACAGCTGATTGCATCGACTCATTGACTCTTCAGCAATCCCTCACACTGCTTGTAGCGACAGTGGAGAGGAAAAACTCCCTTTGAACAGGAAGAAACCTCCAGCAGAACCAGGCTCAGTGTGAGCGGCCATCTGCTGAGGCCCACTGGGGTTCAAGGAGACAGAAGCAGACATAGAAAAAGAAGCCTAGATACAAAAGGCAACTGTCAACCAGCTCCACAGGCGGCCCCGTCCAGGAAACACACAGCCAGGCAGACGAGCTCCGAGCCAGCTCCCATGTCAGAGGATGAAGAGAGCACATCCAGTTAGTCACAGTCAGAGAAACAGGACTACACTGGAAAACAGGCCAAGCTCCAACATCTAGAAACAAAGGTGTTGATGGCAGCAGCACAGCTGATATTTCTCTCCAGGATGGAGTCACAGCCAAACAGGAACAGACCAGATGAAGCTACTATGAGAAAAAGCAGAGAGAGCAGAACGTTAGAGATTGAACTAACAGATTCTGCAGAGTGGGAGAATGGAGATAGAATGAAGCAGAATGATGAAAAAGGGGTCCCTATGTCCTCCAGCAGTCTAAGCCTATAAGAGTATAACACTGATGTTGAACCAAACTTAAATATTATAGGCCATCTTTTCCCCCGATGTTTAGCTTAATTATTGTATGTATAACATCATATTCTAGACCACAAACAGATCTGGCAGATGTTTGTTCCCAGGGTTGAAGTTCCCACTAAGATGCGAGTGGAGCGCTGGTCCTTCAGCTTCTTTGAGCTTCTGACTGACCTGCGAGGCCGAGACGATTTTAAGATCTTTCTGAAGAAGGAGTTCAGTGGTAAGCTTTGTTTGTTTGCTTTTATTCTTTTACAGCTCTCAATAAAAAGCTTTGCTGTTCTTCAGCTCTGAAGCAGTGGCTCGTTATCAAGCAGATCTGGGATCATTTCTGCTGTTTTACAAACTAATTAAAAAGCCATCAGATATTGAAACCTCCTGCAGCTGTTCTTAGCATTCGGCATCTCACAGCAAGCATTAATGTTGATAATCTGGTTCTCTGCTCCTGCAGAAGAAACAGAAACCTTCCTAGACAATAACGCCGCCACCGGTTTAATTCAGTGAGCTGCAGGTAAACTGCCTCGAGGAACGACTGGTTTTATTTATGGATATCAAAATGAACAAGGACACAAAAGCAAATATTAATCATATTTTTTATATTCGTATTTAAACCAAATTAACACAATGTGTAATAGCTGACCTTTATGTGCTGCTCTGTGTTGATGTGCAACTTTACTAAAGGTTCATCAGGTGTGAATCCTTTGGTGAAGCATGTAAAAACGTAACCAGCTGTAGCATCGGCAGCAGAGGTTTCACTGCTTTCAGTTTTATTAAGGATCCTTAACTGATTTCTGTGGAAGTTCCAAAAAAGTTAAAAACAATCCTCTGGACTTTGTTTCCAAGTTTGAAGACGTTTCTCTTCCATCCAGGAAGCTTTTCCAATTCCAAATGTCAGAAATAGCGTTTAGTTCCAGGTTTTATCCAGCAGCCCAACAAAGCCTGGTTTTAGTTTAGAAAACATGCAAATAGAAACGGATGAACGGGTCCCCCCCTTTGGAATGGGGGTCGTTTGGCTTCTTTGTTAGCCTGCAATGCCCCATACCTGTCTATGTCTCTGAAAGGGGGGGTTGTTAATCCTTTAAAACCTTAATAATAATTCAGAATGCATAAAATTCCACCGGTAAAGTTGTACCAGCAGGTGGAGCCATTGCGCGCAGCTCCATGCTGACACCAAACGTTCAAAGCCCCACAGCTCTGGAACTGTTATAGCTAGAGGTCTGACATTTTCTGCATTTGTGGTTGACATAACGTGTATAGGATTTCCTGAAAGCGCGCGCCGGCGCGTTCATGACGCTACAGAAGCCGGCAGACCAAACCAGATGAAAGTGCGCATTCAGCGTCTGCTCTGCCGATAATGCAAGCGTAGAAGAAGAAATGTGCTGTTTACCTGTGCAAAGAAAGAAACAACGGAAGAAAAATGTCTGAGGACTTCAGTGTTGAGGAAGAGCATGAGTTCTTTGCCGAGCTGAATGCGCACTTTCATCTGGTTTGGTCTGCCGCGGTTTCCGTAGCGTCATGAACTCGCCGGCGCGCGCTTTCAGGAAATCCTATACACTACTGTTTATGCTCTAAAAACATTCTAAATGACTTTGTTTCGAGTAAATTCTGGACGCTACCCACTCAGGACACTTGGAATACATTGGACGAGCAGTATGGAGGAATATTGACACGTTTTTTGTGGACTTTTATGGACCTTTCTGCCTCGGGCGCCATAGACCTCCATTATTTGAATGTCAGCAGACAGCAAGAAGCCTCCCAGATCTCCAGATGCATTTGAGATATCAAAAAAGTACTCCAGAGTGTTGTTCAGCATGGGGGGGAGTAGAAAATGAAGGCTAATCATGTTTTGGGTGTACTATTCCTTTAAGAGGTTAAAGGGAAATGTTGGCCTGGCTGAACAGGCGAGGTCTTCTGTTCCTCTGTAAATGGGTTGGGGCTGCGTTGATAGCGATCGCAACATTCCAAAGGGGGGGACCCGTTCATCCGTTTCTATTTGCATGTTTTCTAAACTAAAACCAGGCTTTGTTGGGCTGCTGGATAAAACCTGGAACTCAACGGTATTTCTGACATTTGGAATAGAAAAAGCTTCCTGGATGGAAGAGAAACGTCTTCAAACTTGGACACAAAGTCCAGAGGATTGATTTTTTATTTTTGAGGAGGTAGATGGGTGGTAGAGCCGTTGGCCCTGATTGTGGATCCGTTCTGTGTTCCAGGTGAGAACCTGGCCTTCTGGGAAGCAGCTGAGGAACTGAAGTGGGGCACCGCCTCTTCCATGTCAGCAAAGGCTGAGACCATCTTTAAGTAAGCCCGTAAACGGACTGTTCCACTCAGTGTGTTGTAGTTATGGCCTGGTTTCATTTATATATCGATCTTAGCAATGAAGGGCCGGTGATTTAATTATTGTTCTAAACTCTCCAGCATATTGAATTTATCCATCACTGAATGGTAAAAAGTGTCCGACCGACACTGAGGATACTAGAACTGTGCTGATAATAAACATGGCATTACATTTTCATAGTTAATAAACAAAGTATTTGTCATTAAAATCAAAGGCCATCTTCCTGGAAAAAAAGTTTTCTTCTTCCAACTAAACCTGTTTGAGGAGAAATAACCAAAACATGTTCTGTTCATTAAAGGAAAAGTCCGGTCAGCGAGGAACAATCAAACAATAATTTTCGTTGCGATCACTGAGTCTGGGAGCGGCCATCTTTGCCCAAATACAGTAGCCCCTCCCTCCTGCCATCTTCCAGCAGTGACGTCACGGTGCGGTAAGCCTAGCACCATTCTCCCCGCTTTCCAAGCTAAATCAATGGGAACTACTAGACACATCTGCAATCAACAACAATTATGGAAGATTTCCAGAGGACTTCACCATTGAAATTCACCAGAGCTATAGTGAAACTGACAATGCCCACGTGCATGGCAGCTGGATGCTGGAATACATCGGGTAAAAGGGAAAAAAAAGAGTTATTCCACCTTTCTGGTTCCTGATCCTCCACGGACGGGTTGGTCGTTGGATCGCCAACTTGAAGAGGGAGGATTTGCCATCGAACTTCTGGCCAGAGAAAAAACCCGTAATATGTAGCCAACATTTGGAAGAAGAATGTTTTCAAGATGACTTGGATAATAGCGCGTTGTGACAAACACCAGATACAGCACTGGGACTTGATCAACAGCCGATACCGCACCGTGACGTCACTAACCAGTAGGTGGCAGTAGTGTTCTTTGGCAAACATGGATGCCTCCAGTAAAGCACATTCACATGAAAATTACTCTGAATTAAAAACACTGATCATTTATTGAACAGGATGGAATAATTTCAGATTTAAAGAACTTTCAGACGTTTGGATTCTGAATATGAGCGACTTTAAAGGACTGTTAGGCGTTGAGTCCTGCAGTCAGACTCGCTCTGATGAATCTGATCTGGGTTCATCCAGCATCGTGTGTTCGATCCACCAGGACCTTCCTGGCGCCGGGGGCCCCTCGCTGGATCAACATCGATGGGCGGACCATGGGGCTGACAGTGAAAGGTCTGGAGCATCCTCACCGCTATGTCCTGGAGGCGGCGCAGACGCATGTTTTCATGCTCATGAAGAAGGTGAGTCCTGTTTTAGATTGTAGTTTTGACCAAAATGCAGCCGTTATTGGGTCAGGCATCCTGGGCCAAATGAAGAATGTAAAGATGGAGACGTTAAAACTGATTCGATGGAAAACACATCGGAGGGTCTCTGCTGTGTCAAACCAGAACCTTCCCTTCAGGGTGATGACATGCAGTTTGATCGCACTTCTTTATTGTACAGGACACCTTCTTCCGTTACCTCAAGTCACCAACCTACAAGGAGATCCAGAAGAAGGCCCTGAACCCTGAAGCCCATAACTTCAGGTTGGTATGAGCTGGATCCTAGCATGCTTATAGCAGCTATCAGCTTCAAACACCATCAGAACATGTTAGAACCCACAGGTCCAATCAAACATTCTTTATCACCTGAAGTCAAAGCAAATCAAACCCATAGTCTGATTATTTATTCAATTGAGGCCTGAATCCAAATGCTGGTTTTATAAATAAAGTAGAAGTCACTGAAAAGTTCCTCTCTTTGTTTAACCTGATGAATGTCCAGGAACCTTTGCCTAATAATGCAGTCCTTCCTGTTTCAGTGGGAACAAACGTGGTGCCATGGTGGTGATCACTACGACCACATTGGTGATCACACTAATCACCAATGTGGTGATCAGTCTGGATGATATGGAAAGAACCGCTCTGCAGAGGAATAGAGCTGTCCTGCTAAAATGACTGAAATGATCCTATCCAAGATGAGCTAAAGATTAGCTCTTAATTATCTTTTATGTTCATTTTATATTTTTTTTACAAATTCCCAGAGGGAGCATTAAGTGGGAATAGCCAAAGGGTCCGTTTCACCAAGCAGGTTTACTGAAAACTAAGTCGTCTAAACCTGAAATGAGGGAAACTCTGACTTTTCTGTTCAAGAGTTTCTCCATCCTCTGTTTCTGTTGCCATAGTAACATCCTCCTCAGAGCTAACCTGGTCAGCAGCAGGTTTTCCTCAGTAAACTCAGTGTCCTCTGGCTCCGCCCTCTTTACTGCCAATCAGGCTGTTTTATTTCCTAAATTAATCAAATTTTTGTCTTAGTTTAATGCACACAAAAAGCAATAATTCACTAGGTTAGTTAGACACATTAGATATTAAGACTAACATTGCATTTCCGTTAGATGAGGATCTTATTGAAGAACGATCAGCACTGTTTCACAGAGAATTAAATATTTATAGGGAGAGAATTCTACAACTCAGTGACAGGATAGGAGATTATCTGATTGTTTTTTTTTATAAGTTGATCATTTTATTTTTATTTAGTTATATTTACAGTACAGGAAGTAAATGAAATTATTTTCAGATTACACATAAATAGATGAATTAATTCCACGGGAAAAAGGAATGACTTTAGGGTTAGGATTAGGATTCACTAGGCGATAAAAACCTACGGATCCTACCGGCTCAATCTGAAGCCATTCTATGGGACTGATAGCCGCTAATAACGACCATTTATTGGGATGATAAGATCCAAAACGGCTGCAAACAGACATTTAGTATTTACTGTGTAAAAGAGACTGAATCAACATGAGGAGGAACCCATGAGATGATGAACAGGTTCGATATATTAGAACAACATTTTTAGACTTCACCTGCTGACAACTGATTTCACCTAAATAGATACATTGAATTAGCCTGGGTGCCATTCCGAACTTAGTCCCGCCCACAACGTTTGAGGTCGGGAAGTTCGGTCTGGCATTGCTCCATAGTAGCGCGAGTATGCTCGCACAATATCTGGCGGGCCAATCAAATTGTCAGGGCGGGCTTTATACGATGATGGACAGATGATCAACAGTAACGTAATCAACCACGTGACCAATGCGCGCTTGGGTGACAACAACAATGGCTGCCGCTGGAGAGTTGAGGTGAGTAGATTCTGCTATTAGGTCTGTTCTAGAAGACATCGACAGCAAATCAATTTTAAAAGAGGAACAGAGAAACGCGATCAAGTCTCATCTTCTTATTCTAGGCGTGCAACTGCACGCTTTGATTTTTGTGGACAACAACTATGCGTCGCTTAACATACGTCACGCACTCCGTTGCTCTTATTGGTTGTAGGTCTATCCAATTGAGTGCAGAGGCATTTTTTTTCCTGGTTCGTTCGAAACACGCCCCATAATCACAGCTCTATGGAGCAGCAACAGACTCATATTCTGACTAGAATTGAGTCGGACTACGTCAGGCTAACATTGATCCACCACCATTCAAAAAATTAAACTTGTAATTTGACTGAAAATGTATTCCTTATATTTCAAACATTTTTCCTTGTCAAAATGACATTATTCACATCTAGAATAAACATTCTGGATGTCTAGAAATTGTTGTGTAAACATTTCTAGGTATATAAAACTTAATTCTTACTAGTACAGTTTATTTTATTTTTTATTTATGAAATTCAGTTTCTGCAACAAAAATTAAATTTGGAAAATATTTTATTATAGTTCAGTCTAGGAGAGTGATTTTGATCAGGAAGAATCTTATTTTAGAGATCTACAAATGGAACAACAGAAAGGAGAGTGCTTTTAATAAATGAATATAAATAAATAATAAATGAATTAATAAAATGGCCTGCCATAGACAAATTCACATACACATACATAAACTCAACCAACAATCTTCTCCATCTTCCTCTCTGTTGCAGCTATAGCTCAGACTCTCTGTCCTTTAAACAATCTCTCCTTTTTTTTATTATTGCATTCATATCTGTAGTTCCAGTGGAGTGAAATAAGCACTTCCTGTTTCCTGTTGTCATGGTGATTTGTTGAATCTGGGCTCCACTGATAATGGCTTTTCAAACTTATTACACACTTGTTCAACTCGGTTTGGACCTAATTAGAGTTGATTAAACTGATTTACAGCAGCTTTTATGAAACCGAAAACTCAGAGTTTCCGACGTTGCAGATTTTAATCTAAATGTGTTAAACCTGCTTTGTGAAACGGACGCCTGGAGAACTGTTAGCATCTTAGCCTTTATTTATGTTTTTATTAACTTTTTGCTTTTTTTCGTTAAAAATATTTGAATGAAAGGATTTTTTAAATTTCTAATCATCCGCAAATATATACAGTGAGAAAAAAAATCCATTTAGCAAAAAATAGTTGGAAAAGAACCTAAAATATTTTAATGAGTTTAAATATGATTTATTTATAGTTAAAAAACCAAACAAACTGAGCCTTTCTGCTTTTCCCACTCCAGTCCAGCCCAGCTAGAGGAAAACGCTCGGAACCGGAGCGCCGGCATCCATCCCATCATCCTGTGGCAGCAGGAGGAGGAGGAGAAGGCCAAGGCCGCCGTTGCAGCGGCTCCAGTCGACGTCAAGGCTGTGATGAGCAAAATAGACAGGAAGAAGTAGAGAAAAGTGATCCTGAATTAGGTGGAACCAGGAACCAGAGCTGCTGTAGGGTCTGAGTTCTGCTTAGCAAAGATTCCCCGTTCCCATAATGAGACATAAAATGTTTGACCTGAGGAGGTTTAGGTGAAGGTGCTTCATGCAGAGCGCTGCACAGACCCAATAAAAGGATACGACTGGTGAAACATCACAGCGCAAGTCACAAAACAAAACAAAGTCAAATCTAGAACAGATTGTCTATAGAATCACAGATCCAGAACTGAACAACCTGCAGGTGTCTCTCCACAGAAGCAGAACTGGTGCAAAACATCTGTGAGCTCCAGTTTTCCAGCATTGCTACAGCTTCTCCATCAGCTTTTAAGGCCTGAACACATCGGCTGCGTACGACTTTTTACTCTCTGAACGGATGTTTTCTCCATGTCCCACTGACTGCGCATAGAGAGGCTCCGACTAGGCAGCATGAGCAGATCTAACCAGATGATTTTCACTTCCATCTCTGTGCTTTACACACATTAAACGTATTCCCACATTTGCCTGGATCAGATCATTAAAAGTTATTAAAATAAAAGAAATTATAAGCCACCTGTGCATTCTATGAACCAAAGCTCTACTTAACGAGTCTGTGCAGCATCTAGAACCAGAACAGATAGAGAATGTTTATCTATTAAAAACATAATGAGATCGACGTCTAAAGAAAAGAAAATCGCAGCAATAAACTCCGTGGGACGGTTTCCATGGTGACAGAGAGGTGATTCTCAGAGAAATCTGGGAAGTTTTTCTTTCTTGTTTCCTAAAGAGGTGAGAGAGATACGCTGCGCTGACCTGCTCTGTCTGCTCCTCCTTATTCTGGAGGATCTCTACTTTATCCGTTTCTGTCCTCCTGAACTCCCATCATGGGGAAAATTTTCTATTTTAATGTTTCATTCATTGTTTTTGCTCCAGTCTGTCCTGTTTAAACCCGATGTGTGACCCAAACTGACTCTTTCCCCGTGAGATTAACAGATTTTATTTTTTATTTTCCTCCAAAGCGGATCTGTTTTACTTTTTAACCGCTTCTCTTTTCCTGTCAGACCCATGAAATTACTGCTGAATTGCTGCGTAGTCCGACTAAAACAGACCTGGGATCTATCTCAGTCGGAGCTACGCTGCCCCCTGCAGGAAAACATCCCCATTAACTTTCAATCAGCGCTAAATGCCGCCACCTCTGAGGCACCATTTTCTGTTTGGATCGGACGCAAAATCAGATTTGCTGTGTTCAGACCTTGAGTTTGGACTGGACCACTTTTAGCATGATGAATAATAAATCTCATCTCTAAGCATTTTACAAACCTGTCCAGATATCTGCTCTCTGCAGGCATGTGGTGACTGTGGAAAGAAAAGACTTCCTCCCAGCAAGAACATCCAGCTTCATCAGAGTCAAAAAAACGGGTTTCCTTCTGTGTGTTTTATGCTCCTTAGAAGATCTTGATGGAAACAACTAAATTTGAATCAATTACTAAATTTCACAAGTTTTTAGGCTTAGTTAAGGTGGTTTATGTGCCGATAGCAGGTAGCGTGGCTAGAGCTAGCTGACCTGATACAGGAAGGACACCCTGCCTGGTTAGAAAACATTAATTATAACCTCCCTCCACCACTGATCTGTGGTCCCTGTGAGCTTTCCTGTTTATTCCAGCTATCTGTAGCCTGGTTCATTTGCTGCAGCGGAGGGGAACACATCTAATTAGCATTTTAAGTTTTGGGATGTTTGCTTTTTCTCTCTGATTCTAATAGGATTTTAGCAGTTAGTGTGAGCAGCCATCTGCCATATCTTCAGGTGGACGTAGGTCTGTAGGTGGTCCATCCTCTGTCCTCTGGCTTCAGGTGATGGATTGATCAGAGCTCTGGGAGATTTAACCCCCATCAGGGCTGTGCTTACTGAACCTGGACCATTTAGTGGTATGAGAGTAAAGGGGGGTGAAAAAGAAAAGCAGCTGCTGTAGTTCTGTGATTTTGAGGCCGTAAGGCTTTAATGTTCTTTGTGGGGAGAACATTCGTGACTCTCCATCATCAGGCCCTCCATGTGTAACCTGCTATGCTTTGATGCAATAAATGAATCTTTCATGTCATCCTGTGTCTGACTTTAAAGTGACCTGATTGGAACATCCATGAAGTATTTATAAACCACATAATGATCAAACCAATGTGTGAAAATATCATCACTGTTTCTGACCTTTATTCTGCAATGGAGGATTAAAACCTCTCTGCTCTGCTGTCCTGTAGAGATAAATGGCTTTATGATCAATTAAATGATAGGAAAACTGTCCTGTCAGTCATTGGCTGCTACAGCATAGAAAACTGGAATAGAATAGAAGATAAACAGGACTGAAGCGCCACAGATGATGGCGCCATTCAGACTCTATGAAGAGTCCTGACATGGTTTTCACAGTCATTTTGATCCCTGAAACCCTGGAGGGCTAACGTATATCAGCAGAGGTTGGATCAGTAGTACTACTACTCAGAGTAGTAGTAGTACTTTTATTTATTCAAGTAAAAGTAAAAAGTACAGTATGAATAAAAATGATTTGGTTAAAGGCTCCTAAAGTACATTCTAGAACATCTGAATGAATTATTACTAATAATATAGTTGGACAGATGTTATGTGACGGTTCTGGTATTTTAAAGACTAAAATACAAATAACATTCAATTCAGTTTATTTATATAGCACCAAATTCACAACACATGTCATCTCAGGTCACTTTACAGTTCAACCAGATCATCCAGTCAAATTGATTCAAAGTTTTCTATCTAAGGAAAACCAGCTGATTGCATTGACTCATTGACTCTTCAGCAATCCCTCACACTAAGCATGCTTGTAGCGACAGTGGAGAGGAAAAACTCCCTTTGAACAGGAAGAAACCTCCAGTAGAACCAGGCTCAGTGTGAGCGGCCATCTGCTGAGGCCCACTGGGGTTCAAGGAGACAGAAGCAGACATAGAAAAAGAAGCATAGATACAAAAGGCAACTGTCAACCAGCTCCACAGGCAGCCCCGTCCAGGAAACACACAGCCAGGCAGACGAGCTCCGAGCCAGCTCCCATGTCAGAGGATGAAGAGAGCACATCCAGTTAGTCACAGTCAGAGAAACAGGACTACACTGGAAAACAGGCCAAGCTCCAACATCTAGAAACAAAGGTGTTGATGGCAGCAGCACAGCTGATATTTCTCTCCAGGATGGAGTCACAGCCAAACAGGAACAGACCAGATGAAGCTACTATGAGAAAAAGCAGAGAGAGCAGAACGTTAGAGATTGAACTAACAGATTCTGCAGAGTGGGAGAATAGAGATAGAATGAAGCAGAATGATGAAAAAGGGGTCCCTATGTCCTCCAGCAGTCTAAGCCTATAGCAGCAGAACTCTAGAGATAGCTCAGGATAACCTGAGCCACTCTAACTAGAAGCTTTATCAAAAAGGAAAGTTTTAAGCCTAGCCTTAAAAGTAGACAGGGTGTCTGCCTCACGGACTAAAACTGGTAGTTGGTTCCACAGGAGAGGAGCCTGATACCTAAAAGATCTGCCTCCCATTCTACTTTTAGAAATTCTAGGAACCACTAGTAAACCTGCAGATTGAGAGCGAAGTGCTCTGTTAGGAACATAAGGAACAATCAGATCTCTGATATCAGATGGAGCTTGGCCATTTAAGGCTTTATATGTGAGAAGGAGGATTTTAAATTCTATTCTTGATTTAACAGGAAGCCAATGAAGAGAAGCCAGGATAGGAGAGATATGATCTCTCTTTTTCATTTTCATCAGAACTCTGGCTGCAGCATTTTGGATCAGCTGAAGGCTTTTAACTACAGTTTGTGGACTTCCTGATAGTAAAGAATTACAATAGTCCAGCCTTGAAGTAACAAATGCATGGACTAGTTTCTCAGCATCACCCCTGGACAGGAGATTTCTCATTTTTGCAATATTCCTCAGATGAAAGAAGGAAATTCTAGAAACCTCTTTGATATGGGATTTAAATGACAGGTCCTGATCAAAAACAACACCAAGTTTTTTTACATTATTATCTGAAATCAGTTTAATCCCATCCAAATGAAGTGACTGACTAATCAGCTTCTTTTTCAGAGACTCTGGTCCAAAGACTATAACTTCTGTTTTGTCTGCATTCAGAAGCAGAAAGTTAAGAGTCATCCAGGTTTTTATGTCTTCAGACATGCCTGTAATCTATGTAATGGGTTAGCTTCATCTGGATTTATAGACAGATATAGCTGGGTATCATCAGCATAACAGTGGAAATTAATCCCATGCTGTCTAATAACTCTACCAATTGGGAGCATGTATAAAGTAAAGAGAATTGGTCCTAGCACTGATCCCTGTGGTACTCCACAGGTAACCTTTGAGCGTGTTGAAGATCTATCATTAACATGAACAAACTGAATTCGATCAGATAGATAAGATTTAAACCAGTCTAGTGCTGTTCCTTTAATTCCAACAAAATATTCAAGTCTTTCTAAAAGAATATTATGGTCAACTGTATCAAATGCAGCACTAAGATCCAACAGGACGAGCACAGATACAAGTCCATTATCTGAGGCCATGAGAATATCATTAGTGACTTTCACCAGAGCTGTTTCAGTGCTATGATGAGCTCTAAAGCCAGACTGAAACTCTTCAAAAAGTTCATTATGGTGGAAGTGATCGCAAACTTGTTTGGCAACTACTTTCTCAAGAATTTTGGATAAGAAAGGAAGATTGGATATAGGTCTATAATTGACCAAGTCATCTGGGTCAAGAGACGGTTTCTTAAGCAGAGGTTTAATTGCAGCAACCTTAAAAGCTTTAGGTACATATCCCTGTACCAGAGATAGATTAATCACATCTAAAATGGAGGAGGAGATCAAAGGGAATACCTCCTTAAATAACCTGGTTGGAACTGGATCTAACATACAAGTTGAAGGCTTAGATGAAGACAATAATTTTGCTAATTCAGAAAGTTCAACTGGATCAAAGCAGTCTAAACCCGGTTCAGATTCCATGACTACCTCAGGTACAATCGCGGATAGAGGAGTGCTTATGATCTTATTTTTAATAAGATCAATCTTATTTATAAAGAATCCCATAAAATCATTGCTGCTAAGAGCAGGTGGAATGGACGGTTCAACAGAGCTATGGCTCTGGGTGAGTTTGGCAACTGTATTAAAAAGAAATCTA